TATATATATATATATATATATATACACATTAATTACAATATTTTGTTTAAATTAGATCTAAATCAAAAGATATATATAAATATTTTTACATTTTAATTAAAAAAATCAATATAAATTTTTATAAGTTATTATTATTCTTTTTGTAATATATAGAAATAAAATATTTATATATAAAGTCTACTTACTCCATACCTAAGATTTTTCTCTTTTTATAAATAAATAGAATAATTTTATTACCATACTTGTAAAAATCCTTAACTAAAGACGATACTTAATATGGAGGACAGAACATGACACTTTTTCTTGTCTTTTATTTTGTATCTATGTACTATTTCATCTTTTTATATTACGCTGTTATTTCTTGTTACACAACGTATGTTCGTCGCTTTTACGTAAGACATACATAATCTAATTTGATTAAAAAAATAGTTATATTTGATGTTGCTGTGTGGCGTTAATCACTTTACTATTACTGTCTTGATAAGAGAGAAGTGGTATTTTCGTGTCGCGTCTCTTCATGTTGTTTCGTTGATTCATCGAAGCTTCAAATCTGTAACTGATAATAATATCAATAATTAGAAACAAGATATCAAGATTTTTTTCTCGATTAGAACGTTACGTCTCTTCGTATGAATTTTCGTACGGAGTTTAATCGTACAAAAAATGAAAAAACTTAATCGCTCTACGACACGTATAAGTACGTTCTCGTAGTTTACGTAACTGGCATGCTGCGAGTTACATTGAAGCGAAAGGAATTTTGCGAGATACGGAACATCGAACGGTCTCGTAAATTCTATTCACCTATGATAAGAGTCCTGCCGTTGTCTCTGCGGCCAAAGATGAAACGCGCCATATATCAAAGGATTTACCAAGCTGTTGCTCATACCGAAGAAAAATATTCCGTTCTGTAGCTCTGCGCTGAGCTGAAAGGCATTCAATGTTTGTTAACATTCGATATTGATTTTTCAATATAGCCTAATCTAATCCCTCTATTGTTGCTATCAAAATACACTAACATGATCATCCGGATTGATAAACAAAAGAATTATCATCATCGTGTAATACGGTGTCCACCAAATTAGAAATGCCGCTACGATAACGACGCTGATCCGTAGTGATTTCGTTTTTGCCCGGTTCATCAGTCTTTTCCTATTTAAGTCGATGTTTGTGTAGGTCTTTGTTTGATCCATTTTGAAATTTCTCCGACTTCCTGTTCAAGGAAAAAATTCATTTCTTTATATGACTCTATAAAAGGAGTTTTCGGCCGGTATTCATAGTCCGTTTTTATTTTAAGACCGTCTTAAATAACGTCGTAAGATGTTAATCTTAAGGAGGTTCTCTAGTCATAAAACAAATATTAATATTTACGCTTTAAACAAACTATTGTACATACATATGAAAGTTGTGTTTATAACATTCTGTTTTCATTGAGCAACGGATTTTTATAGATTATTTATTTTATTTGTTATTATTTTTATTGTTATAAACAAAAATTTTTTTAATAATAACAAAAATCTAAATTTTTTTTATATAAATATATTAAATACTAAACATGACTTATGCCAAGTTTCGTTGAGATTCACCAATTAGTTTATAACAAATAAATATTTTATTTATTTACTGAACAATTAATGTCTGCATCTCAACGTAACTTTATATAAATATTTTTGAATTCATATAGTATTTATATTAAAAAATTGAGATTTTTATCATTATTTTGTAATACATTTTCATATATTTCTATTAGAGTACAAATTTAAAAATTATTACTTATTATTGAAATAATTTTTGATCCAGAAAAAATTTGAAAAAATTCAAAAATGCTTCTATTTTTATTCAAATTTTTATACAAATTTATTCTCAAAATTTGATCAAGTTCCTATATTATGTCAAATGACTGGAGAACCTTCTTAAGCCTTCTTATTATTCCGTGACATTTTAATAAAGACGATCTTGAATATAAGAATTGACTAGGAATACCGGTTTTATATCTTTGAAACATAATATAGCACAGAGTATTTCAGTAATGTTACAGTAAAATTACAACGTTCCCGTAATGTTACAGTAACATTGCAACGTTGCTGGAATGATCCGTGCTATATCGGATACATTTCATCAAATAATTCGAATGGTTCTTGAAATTTTTGAAAAAACAAAATTTTTCCTTCAATTTTGATATATTGTAGTTTTGAAACTAAGTCGTTTTGGACATATCAAGTTTTCGTTCTGAATTTATATGAAAAATTACTCTTTAAAATGTTTTAGAATATTTAAGGATCACCCTGTATAAGCTAGATTATATAAAATTAAATGGAAAATTAATTACAATAAGAATAATGAATCATATTTCACACACATTATACGTTTTTTATCGCAATTATAATTTTGTATACATGTATAACGCAAAAATTATACTTACGAGAAATAGTGATCACAGTGGATACGTAAGTAGTAATTAAAATTGCTAATGGCAGAAGGAACATGAAGAATAGACTGAAACTTGCGTAGAGTTGTTCTTGCCAACGCTCCGTGTAAAAGCCGTGTGTCACACATTGCATAAATTCTTCGACAAATGGTCCTTGCACAACATGAAATATCGCGATCTGAAAAAAAAATCGGTATATAAATATGCAGACATCAATTAATAGTAAATAAAATAATAATAGCATGTACATTGATTAGGTTAATTAGGTACGTATTACTTGCGGATTCGAGAGAGAATACAAAATTCGCAGAGTCCAAAAATTCAAAGATTTGCGTGTAAAGATGAGACATAAATAAAGGAGGATGTTAAAAAGAAGCCGATTTTTGCTCACAAAGTAAAGGTGTAAGTAAAAGGAATAGCGGTTTTTTTTTATAGATGTCGACCTTCTGATTACGATAATGTTAATAAAAAGTTCGGGATCGCGATAGGAAACACCTTGAAAATTGAGCATGAACAGATATATTTAAACAAATTTCAATATTCTTGTTTACTTTTCAAGGTGTTCCTCAAATGCCACGAACGTTTTAATAATTTTATCATATTCAAAATCTACAAAAAACATTATTTCTTTTACTTACATCTTTGTGGGCAAAAATCAGTCTCTTTTTAGCAGCCTTAGCTAATACATAAAATGTACTACGGGACACCCTGTATAATATGATTTTTAAATTATTCTGCATATATACATAAAAGTATTAAAGTAGAGATATTGAAAAATTAATAATTTATAAAGTATTTTTTATATTTTATTCTGGTAAATTACGATAATGTAATATAAAATATCTCGTATTAATTTTTTGATACTTTTACAGAATAGTGCTGGCTAATTAATCACTTATTTTGATTATTAAAAGTACTGTTAAAATAGTACTGTTAACAGAATCTTTATCTACTTAAATTTCTATAAGGGATTGCCTCCATGGGCGGTATTCATAGTCTGTTCTTATTTTAAGACCGTCTTAAGATACTAATATGGCTGTTTGATTGGCTCATGACGTTTTAAAACGGTCTTAAATATAAGATCCGACTATGAATACTAGCCAAAGGGGGTCGTATTAACATTTTAAGATATTACTTAAGATAGTCTTGAACGGACTATAAATATCGGCCTTTGATTTAATAAGAATTGATTATGAATATCGGCCTATTCATTACAATGTCTATACATATACTAATAGCGTTTTTGACTGTAGCTGGTTTGCATCGACTTGAGCTGTATTCCAAATTTACTGCCAGCACCGAAAATGCTACAGTTTACGTTACATGCACTATAGATTTTCAGTACTGGCAGTCAATTTTGGAACACAGTCTTGGATTAATGCTCTATTGGTTGGTGCAAACCCACTACAGTCGAAAACACTATAGGCCTGTTTTTTAGCTGAATTTTTGCACCAGTTCATCTTTCTTTCTTTTCTTTCTTCCTAGAGAGAAAAGGAAGAAAAATGAACTGGTGCAACAGTACAACTAAAAAGAACAGGCCTAATTATATGCCACAGGAATAAGGAATAGAGCTAACATCATTCAACATCATTCACCATGATTCAACGTCATTTATTAATTTCAACTTCATTTTTCATAATTATTCACAATGGAGCTAACATCACTTTAGACATTCATTTGTAAACGTTTATTCATCAACGTTGAACGTTTTGAGGCTACCGCGTTTGGCAGATCAGCTGACTTGCAAATTCGCCGTGTTTCTTCGATAAGGCCGGAATATTGAAGCGAGAGATGGTACAAAGGTTACCGTGAATGTTGCCGTAAAAAGAATTTCATGGAACAGGAGAGGCGCATTAATTAAACGGGCCGTTTGTCTCTCAGCTTGTCAAGAGATAGGTATATGTCTGTCATTAATCTTCGCCACACGGACCGTGTCTCTTTCTTTCGTCGCCACGACATTGTTCCTTGACTGGGCTCGCGATCTTCGTCCTTTCCGACCCGCATGACCTCAACAAAAAGACATATCAGACCAATCTCGAAGACTTTCGCCTTTCGGCCAATGCACTTGACACCTCATTAAATCTATCTAGAATTGGTTTCATCTCTCAGAAGGCAGGATAGCTCGATAGAATTGCAACGTCTTCCTCGTGTCTAATACAGCTGTCATTACTTATTTTACAGATATGCTAATGCATATGAAATATGCATCTTTGCTATTTATCACGTTTATTTTTTTCTGGAGACACACATCTCTTCTGTATAAGCAAGAGACACCGATAATGATGATATTCCCCGGTAAACATCAATTAATAGTAACATACATCAATATAATTTCTAATAATATAAATGTAATATACATATAACAAATGTTGTACGTTACTTTTGACTAAGAAATTACAGCTACGTTTACACCGTGCGTTTAGTCCGCGATCTATACGATAGATATCTTAGTTTCACCTACAGGATAAACAAAAACATATATCTATTGTATAGGCCGCGGCCTAAATGCACAGTATAAATGTAGTCTATGTAACATTGTTATACAGTTAGAAATCAAAGGAGAAATTGTAATCCAATCTCTTGAGTTAAATAATATTTTGTTATTTTTAATTTTATATTTGCAAAATATAAACCAATCTATTTCTGTGATTAATTTCTAAATAAATATTGCCCATGTTAATGTATGCATTTAGTACGAAATTAAATTAAATTTGAATCATAAATACATTTTCTTGAATTAGATTATTTAATTCCATTGTAGTTAAATTAACGATACATTGGGTAGAAATAGTGACAATCTATAGAAGTGATTAAAAAATAATTAAAATTGAATATAATTTGAAATTATAAGTTTAATAGTGTATATTAGATATACAGTTGAGTAGGAAATTATGTAACATTGTACATGCAATATTAATTGGTGTTTACTAGGATTAGGATTGTGTGAGCTAAAAATAATTTCTATCGATACGATTATTTTATGAAAGCCTAGAATATAATATAAATCGATTTTGAATTATTTAAAGGTTATTTAATTAACAAGGTACAAGAAAATTCTTTCCCCGACTTTGTTAATTCAGAATCTCATCAACATGGCATATCTGACCGGGAAGATCCTTGGTTTAGTAATCTCTGCGATTAAAAATCTTCGCGAGCTCAAAGGATGTACGACGCGAGAAATTCTCCACTATATCACATCTGTTTACAAAATCCCGGTTGCTGTGGCACGACGTCAGGTTTATATTAACATTTCACGTTTTTGCAACATGATTGATTATTGAATGAAATAATGTGGTATAAATCTTTAAAATCTATTTTAATCACTGTAATAAATACATACATATATACTATTTATTTATATCTATTTTATTATTGATAACACATAATTGTTTCATTCAATAATTTAAATATTAATATAAATATATGAAACACACACGAGTTAGTGAGGGAACAAATTAAAATGTTCATGTAAACATTTGTTGAAAAAAATTTCAGTTATTCTGTGCCGCTTACGATTTAATACGTCGCAAATAATATATAGAGATATAAAAATTTTTTAGTAGTACATATACAGAAAAAAAATTTGCAGATTTTAAATAAATATTTACTCCAATAGTACTAACAAAATATTTATTTACTATAAATAAATATTTCGTTAGTACTATTGGAGTAAATATTTATTTAAAATCTACAAATTTTTTTTTCAGTGTATTAAAATGAAAAAGTTGTTTCCTGCGTGCTATTATTCATAGTAATATCGATTGATAACAAATTAACTTTTAAAATTTTTTGCGCAATTCCTGAATCTGCGTTACTCATTTCAAAATTGCGTCACTCATTTAAAAAAATTTAAACTAAGCATATTACTAAAATTTTTCGATGGAAAAGTGCATATTTTGCTTATGATTTCATCCTATATTGATTTATTATTAGTCAGTTAATTAAAAAGAAAATTTATGTATGTATTTTAAGCCTGGTTTGTTAACTGCAATTTTATCACAACTTTCCTGCAACATTCCTACAATTACTCATGATTATTATCTTACGGTTTATGAACTTGTTTTCAGTTGTTGTTTAAATTATCGAACATTAATTATAGGATTTTTAATTCTATATATAAATAAAGCGAGAAAACGGATCATTCTTTACTTTCTAAGCGAAGGAACTGTTCGTAAAGCGCTATTTATTATTCACTTTCTTCTTTTTTCTTGTTTACTTATTTTCAGTAATTTTTTATGTGGGATCAGAGAATTTTTTATTTTAACATTGAGACACGAACAAACATCAAGTTATTCAAATTTTTTCCCAGTAGAGCTTAAATTTCAAATTAACCAATTTATACAAAATTGTCGTATAATTTTGCAGAAATTATTTATACGAGATTGTTTTCTTAACAAATAATTGTCTCTAAATAACAAAAAGTATAAAAGAGGTCTATTCCAGACAATATATATGCGTGTCTAAAAGACATGGTTGTTCTACAATGTGCTCTTTGTTTCCTGTTTCCTGTTTTTTACTTTTTACTTTTTTCCTCTTTGTGATCATTTTATCGACAATTATATTTTTTGATATGTGTTTTCTGTTTCTTTTGAAGTTCGTTAACGTTTATCTCGAGCAACAGAAAACGAAAAACGGGATAAGAGGCAAAAAGATAAGATACAAAATAGCAAAAAGCAAGAAACAGGAAACAAAAAGCACATTGTAGAATAGGCTATAAAGACATAATAAAAACGTCTTTTGGGACATACATGCGCGCGCTTAAAAGATATATAATAAAAGACATCCTAAAGATGTCTTCTGGGCATTGCGGTTGTCTGATAGGTACACGTGTTCATGAAGATGTTTCGGCTTGCTGTCACAGATGCAGAATGCTTTAAAGCGCGGAATTACTTATGGCATTTTGAAGAAAACCGATGGTCAGTATAGTTTGCCGACCGACAATGAGATCACACGGCAGGAGGTGGCTGCTCAGGAGATCGGTCTGCTGGATTTGTACTGTCAGCGAAAGATACATCGATCGAGAGGTGGCAGGATACGACGTAATAGAGGGACTGGGCGCAGACAAAGGGTCGCCTGCAGGTGCAGCAAGAAAGATATGCGACGAAGGTCACGGGGATGCGGGTCAAAGTCTTGCAGGAGGAGAAGAGGTGGAAGTAGAGGTTTTGGTAGATGTGTTCACGACGGGACGATGAAGCCTAAGATCGAACCTATTCTGAACGTCGACAAATTGACTGATAAGTCAACTAAATCGAACCCGACTATGACAAGGGCCAGCGTGATTGACGATATCGAGCGAAGCAATAGCTCAAATATGTCTTCCGAACAATGGGATCGCAGTATATCGTTGTCGTGTTAATCATGGAGATATTTCAGTGACATTCGTTGGGATTTCTAAATGTTGTAATATGATTTAAATTTTCTAAACTACAATCAAATTGTTTTGAGGAGTAAATTTCGATTTTATTCCTATTTGAATCTTTTCTATAAGTTTTATCATATGTCCTAATAGTTTTATGAATATATGGATACATACATTGAAGAAAGAATAAAATTTTATTTGTAGAAAATTTTGTATGATAAACTTTATTTATAATCAATTTTATGATTTAATTTGTTTTCTACAAAAGTCATTGTTTTATATCAAATCTGATCGCATAATTGTGTAGTTGTAGGACACTATAATTATAATATAATACAATAAAATATTGGAATGCCAAATTAATTGACATCCAATACTTTTTATAGGTTACGTATTATATTCAGACATATTCAGATTGATCATGTCATGCACTCGATATTATAAATAAAATTTGCAGTCGATAATGTAAATTAAAACATCTGAAAGACGTCTGAAAGATGACTTTTGGAAAAGTCCTCAAGACGTCTGTTTTCGGATGTCTTCAAGACGTCTTTCTGACTATCTGCAAAAGACGCATTTTTGATAAAGTCGAAAAGATGTCTGAAAGATGACTTTTGGAAGAGTCTTCAAGATGTCTTGAACTAGACAAAAAAATTTGTAAGATATACATTTTTTAATTTTTTAAAAAGTGTAACACTATACTTCAGAGGATTAAATAGAAAATGTATTCTTCTTATATACGGGAACTTTTAGAAAGAATGGTCAATATCTCGAATGGTAGAAGCTGAAAGTTTCCACGAACACGTGTTGCAGAGTTACAAAGTGTTGATTAAAGATGAAATTGAAATAAGTTCACAAAATACGTTTATATGAAATGTTTCCTCCGGTAATGACTGATATCTTATGACTTTCATAAAATATTAATTCTTCATAAAAAAAAAATAATTTTCGTATTAGCAGAATATGTTAGATACGTTAAATCTTAGAGGATTTTATTCTTATATACGGCGCCTTAAGAGGAATCCTCCGAAATTAAGTAGAAAATATTTTAAGTACATATTCTTACAATTAAAGTAATTTCGCCTTGCATCTGCAGTACAAATCTTTCTGTTTCTAATATGAATTTACTCGTAAGAGGGCACTCCGCTTTAAGTAAATATATTCCTCTTAACATAAGAGGAAAATTGTTAGAATAATATTCAATACATTTTTTATGAATAGTCTACTGTATTGAAAGAGGAATACTTTTTCTGTAAAAGTTTTCGCTTAGAATATGAGATTACCGGAAATTTCACTTCATAATTAGATTATCTTTTTTGGATGTTTGTTGTGGAATACCATGTACCTACTTGAGGAATACACAAAACAGTGTTTTGCATTATAATGACGCATATAATGCAAGTGAAACAGAATATGTTGTATAATGCTTGTAGTTCTTCTTTCTAATTTTTCCATGACGTGCAATGATAAGGGATATATTTTAAATTAATTACACGGTTTCTTATTTATCATAGTTAATGCGTATTTTGCACTCCTTTTGCGGAAGCTCAATATAAATTAGAATATCTCTGATTTGTTATTTCTATCGTTGGAAAATCCTCCTGTTATTTCGTTCCTTGAGAAACTTATAATGAAAATTTACATACATTATACAGCGTTTTATACATAGTGTAGTTTGTAGTTTTCTAATGTAATTATAACTAAGATATTTTCTAATAAAAACTTGAGACTCATTTATCAATTGAGTTACATTTATAATAATTGTTCGTAATGATCGTATAATATTGCATGAATTAATAGATGTTCATGACATCGCTGTTATTAATAGCAAAAAAGTAAAGCAGTCATATTTTGATATAGTGTGTTAGTGCGATTGCATAATTGACATTATAATAGTACAGAAAATGAGAGGATTTCTCAACTGTTCTTTCTTCTCTCTTTAGTTTTCGTGAGGTTTGAAAAATGATTTGAAGCGTTCTTTTAGTCAATTAATAAAATTTTCCTTCTAATTCGTCAATCAAATGCTTCAAAACATTTGTAATGAGGCTTCCATTGCACCATTTATCATAGAAATATCCTCTTATTTATGACGAATTTTTACAAATATATCTAAAATTATGTTGATTTTACTTTTAATTAAGACAATTTGACTGAATAATAAAATATCTTAGACAGCTCGAAAAATATAAAAGAAAATTTTTACCTATTTTATTTTTACTTATTTTATTTAAAGACAATTTTTGTATCCTACATTAATTACAGAAAATATTAAGAATTATTCCAAATATATTATTGTGTTAGATTACTTTATCTCTAATTTTCTTTCAAAAAGCAATGCAACCAATACGCATTTAATGTATTTATAATCCTTTATTCTTTGAGTATAATTTCAAGCGGAAACTTATTTGTTGTTTATCAAGTTTGTGTGATCTTTTAGTCGGTTCTGAAATTTTTATCATATTTACAATCATTTCAGATTAAATTATTTCTAACATCATTTAATTCTTTTGCCAGTTTAAAATTGCGTTAAGTAGAAGACAATAATATAGGCGCACCTAATGGATTTTTTCTTGAATATGTCTTCAGTTACATAATTTTTTGTACGCAAATCTAGTTTATCGATGAGCATTTTTCTAGCGGTCGACTGCCTTGACGACACTACGATTTGATATTTAACTGCTATTTAATATTGAAGTAAGAATCATTCGTTCGAGTTGATAATATAAATTTCCATTTCGAATATCCATCAGATAAAAAGCCAATTTTCAGGGAAATAATGCCATATGCCGCATATACCATTTTAATGATCAATTTAATCTTTTTAAGCGTTTTATAGCATATTTCGAAATACCGATAAATAATATAATTGAGAGATTAAATTAAAATATAAATCGGTTCTTTATACGTGGAATCTGAAATAATCATGCATGCTTCGAGTGCATAATGTAACGTTCATTAATATAATGATACAAATCAAGAAGAAAGATTTAAACCGCGTATTTTATGCAATATCCATTGTTCTTGGAATGTGTTTTTATAATAAATCATCGCGGAATTTGTACGATAAATAATAATCGAAATAATATAAATATAAGATATTTGTTGAATTTTAAAGAATATAAAAGAGAACCTAATGAAAATATATCTAATATAATTATACTTTATTGTATTAAAAATTTATTAATATACTTTATTAATATTATTTATAATTATTTCTCTACGAGAACGTTTAAAAGTTCATATGCCATTTTATAATAAAATATAATAAATTCTTTTTTAACTGGAGAGAATATACTCTGATAGCATAATTTATTGGCGCAATATTGGGCCAATACATGTCAACATTTAATCAATTTATTGCCAATAAGTTATACTATATTACTCGGGTAGATACGTACTTTTTTTTTTTATAAAACAAAAACTTAAGATATAAAAATATAATTTTAATCTTTCCAAAAGAATATATAAATTTTGAATACGTGATGGTCTCTGCATTATATATATATTAAAATCACTTTACTATGCATAAATGCAACGAATGCTACTTGTAAAATTAAATGCTTAAAAGTCTCATGTATATATCTGAGTTATATCTCTTATTTCAAAATGATATGACTAAAAAAATTCAGAAAATGGGAAAGCCTATTTTTTTACTTAAAAAGTTATTAATTAATCATATAATAACGGTAAAAGGAAATATATTCTCAGAAACATGATTAAATGTTATATATATCATTTTCGTTTCACAACAAAAAACCATTCTTTTTGTGCGGTGACGATTTTGATCTCCTATAAAACTATGTATATCGGAATGATTCATCAAAAGTGACATAACTTGAAATATCATCAAGTTTCTTTTTATCTTGATCCAGCTAAAATGACTAAATTCAAAATAAAATAATTTCTTCTTCAAATATTGAAAATTGTCTTAACTTTAAATGTTTTCTGTAGAAGACTCTTTTTTATTTATAAAAACAACATAACTTATTAGAAGTGTGATTTAGTTTTGAGGGTTTTGCAAGAGATGGCACTAATATCAGTGTTGTCGAAGACATTCCAATCACAGTTATCATTTCTTAATACTTTAATATTACTTCATGATATTTAGTCGTTTACAATAGACGCAGTAAACATCGTGTTTATACCATTTAAAAAATGGAGCTTCCTAAAGAGCATTTTCGATATGCATTGCTTTTGTTTTTTAATCAGAAGAAAACGGCGGTTGAAGGTCATAGAATTTTAATAGAAACTTATGGTGATGTTGCTCCATCAATTAAGACATATGAATATTAGTTCTGTCGATTCAAAAGTGGTGATTTCAATATTAACAACAAAAGCTGAAAAATACAGATTTGTAAGCATTATTAGATAAAAATCCAGTACAATCCACTTCAGAATTTGCCAGAGAATTAAATGTTGATGGTACAACAGTTATTAAACGTTTACATGATATGTTGTTTAAATAAATCAGTTTTTTTTTTTAGAAAAAAACCTTCAAAACTAAATAACACTCCTAATAAAAATCATTTTTGTAGAAGATATTGCATGATCTCTTCGAAAATTTTAGAAAAAAAACACAATTTTAGAAAAAAACACTATTTGATGTATTTTTGATAATCTTTTCCTAATTAAAAAATCGTAAAACTTCGAAAATTACATTTTTTGAATTGTGTCATTTTTGAAGTAAGTAAACAACCTTTATTGATTCATATTTAAAATACATAAAGCAAAATCGTCTTACCTGTGGAGTGGCGAGTATAAAAGACAGCAGCCAAGTGAGAAGGACGAATCGTGAGCACGTCTGAGACGTATTGAGGCCTTTCATGGGATACCGCACCGCGACAAATCGATCGACGCCGATTAGCACAAGTACGAAAGTACTTAGATACAGGCTGAACATTTGTAGGAACTTGAAGATCTTGCACGCGACATTGCCCCACAGCCACGCGACGGTATAACTCCAGATTGCTTCTCCAGCGAGGCAGAAGATAGTGACCAGCAAATCGGCCACCGACAGATGAAAGATCAGGAGATAAATCGTCGAGCCATGCTGCTTTCGACGATTCTTCGTGATTGAGTATAT